GCATAATCAGATGCACGCAAGCGTTGTGCAACTTTGTATGTAACAAAAGTTACGTAATGTTCGTTACGTAACAAAGAAACGACGTTTTTTCGATTTTTTTTCAGTTTTTTGTTAATAACTCGACAACCCCTTAAGATAATTACATCATCGACCACTCGTATGAAAGCTAAATGTCTCACCTATCCAACGAGTCTACTTGCATCTTCGTACTGTCATCTAGTCGCCTGCTATGAGCTGTAGAAAATGGAAAAAAAGTGAATTGAATTTGTCAAAAAAGTCATGTTGTCAGGTTTTCGTTAATAACTCGAAAAGTAATAAACTTTTTTATGATTTTATTGCATAATCAGATGCACGCAAGCGTAGCGCAACTTTCTATGTAACAAAAGTTACGTAACAGAGAAACAACGTTTTTTTTCGATTTTTTTTCAGTTTTTCGTTAATAACTTGACAACCTTTTAGGATAATTACATCATCGACCACTCGTATGAAAGCTGAATGTCTCTTTATTTGATTTATAAATAATAATTAAAGTATATATTTACCTTTTTTTTCTTTTCTTGAATTCCTGTCGATAAATCAAATTCAATAAAAGAGAGAGAAAACAAGTCTTCATTTCATTTCAAATATCATATTGTTTTTGTTTTTTTTATTATTATTATTTTTTTTCTTCATATATATTTATATATGTGTGTGTGTGTACGCATGCACACACACACACATATATATATATACATATTTCAGTTGACATTCCTTTCCCGCCGCCTTCTTCGATATAATATATATATATAGTTCTTATCCACTAAAATTGTATACAGTTAATATTGACAAGACATCTCATGGAAGATACAAACGGACCACAATCATAAATTCAAACGAAACGAAACACTACAACAAAATACTCTTTTTTCTTTTTTTATCTCTTTCTATCTCGTTCATTCCGATGATCGAAGAAAGAAAAGAAAAATAATAAAAAATAATCAAGGGCGAGCCTTCGTCGAGAAACAAAAGAAGTACGAGAGAACAAAAGAGGAGTTTATGGACGGTCACGAGCCGAGCGTGTTGACTCGGCTCCGCTCGGGTTTCTATCAATGGAGAGGCGGGGCGTGGCGTTGCTCAAACAACTGAAAAGGTGGGCGGAGCTTAGAATGAACAGTTGAACGAGTGTTAAAACAATAGAGTTACCTCTATTACTGCAATCGAGTGAACAAATATGAAATAAAAGAAAATCAAAATCAACGTTGGCCAAAAACACAAACAAAAATAATGAAATGAACAAAGAATGAAAAAAAAAACACATCTCTCGACAACGACATCTATCTTTCACAGTAATTACAATTAATAAATTCATCTATAAAGTACAAAATATATATTATATATCAATCTCCAATTTCATTTCGTTTCTTCTTTATTCCTCTACAGTCCTCTTACACTTCCTCCTCCTCTCTTTAACTCCTTCTTCACCACTTCAAAATAATTATCGTCACTCTCTCTCTTACACACACTCATTCTCACATACAAATATTTCTATTTCATTCAAATCACGATAAAAAAAAAAAAACGAAAATGTCTCTACTTAAAGGTTAAATAAACGCTGTACACAAAGAAAGGAAGAAAACAAAAAAATAGAAAATTATAATAATAATAGAATAGATGAAGAAATAAGGAAAATCTCTTTCGAATTTTAATCACAAATGATAAAGAAAACAAAAATATTAATTTAAAACAAAAAAACAAACAAAAAAAGTGGGTAGCGTAAGGTAGTAGTATAAATTAATAATGATAATAAATCAAAATAGCTTTGTCTTCGATCAAAAACAAACAAACAAAAAAAGAAACAAAAGATGTGAAAAGTGAAGAAAAGAACTAAAATCAAGATGGTTGTGATGGTTAAGAAGAGAATAGAAAAAAAAAACAAATAGAAACAAACAAACAAACAATCGACGCGCGTCGTAATCAGTCTCTCTCTTCCTTCTTTATTGCTTCGAAAAGTTTTCCTCCGCACAATTAAACAAATCAAATTTCAAACATCAATCATCAAAAAAAAATCCTCCACTTTATATATTTCTTTTTTAATAAATTGCATTCTTCAAAATTTACTTGTCATTTTAGGTTTTGTCACTAGGAAACAAATGAAGATCTTTTGTTTGTCAACTAGGAAACTTTTGTTTACAATTGAAAACAAGAGATGGCGTACAAGAAACATGCAACAACTAAAAAGACTTTTCATTGATGATTGATAACTTTTCATTTAGTCCGATCTCTCTCTCTCTCTTTCTATCTTTCTCTCTCACTCTTTATTGCTGCTCGTTCATTCAAATAATACTATCGAAATATACTAATTAAAATTTAGTTTTAGTTTGTCTATCTAACCAATTCCTCTTCATCACTCGTTTTCACCATCAACAAATTTCGTTTTAGTTCTTTCTCTTTTCATTTTACTAGAATTGTTTAGGCCCTTTCCATTGCTTTTATACTCTTTTGTTTCTCCGAATGTTTTCATCTTTTGGTTCGATCGAAAAAAAAAAAAAACAATGTTTGTGTGACTAGAAGAAAATAATAAATTTTTCATCTCGCTTCGCGCGCGCTTCTCTCTCTCTTTCGCTCTCTTTCATTTCTTTCACTCTCTCTCTCTCTCTAAATATATTTATATAAATCTCTGTCGCTCATTCAATGAAGAAACTCGCGTGGTTTTAGTTAATTGTGGAACAAGTTGACTACTTCTTGTCGAAGAGGGGCAGCTTGGAGCGGACGGCGCCCTCGCACAGTACGAGACGCGTGCACTTGGAGCGCTGCGGCATCAGGTGGGAGGCGGCGGAGGCGGAGCCAAGGGGGGCGGGTCCCATCGGATGAAGGGCGGATACAGTAGTCGACGATGCTGCTGCTGTTGCTGTTGACGACGAGGAGGAGGAGGCGGAGCCACCGACGCCCCCTTGTCGTTCGAGGGATTTCCGGAGGGCGGCGATTCGTGATCCGCTTCGTCCGCCGCCGTACGTGTGCCGGGAACCCTTCCGCTCGAAGTAATCGACGATGGATGATATGTTTGTCTCCTGCGCCCAATCGGATCCGGCCAGGCTGGAGATGTCCTCGTTGCTGTCCGTGTAGATGGAGGAGGCGCGTTTGTAGATGGCGTGCAACTCTGCAGGTTCCAGTTCGTCCAATGAACGAAGCGAACTGACCGCGGTGCCGCTATCCCATAGGCTGTTCGGCGAAAGGCACTCGCCCACCGACGAGTAGAAGCCGGACTCGCACGAACCTCGTCTCCGCAGCAGATTCGGCGTCGCGCTCTCGACGGCGGCGCCCAAATCCGATAGATTCGTGCCGGATCCACCGCCGTACGCCGACCCGTCTTTGCCGTGCGGCGACGAGGAGGCTTTCCGCGAAGGCGTCGGTGAGCCGGGCAGAGATCGCGCCGTCTCGCCGTTCTCCACGAACGTCGAGGACAGTTCCGAGCACGAAAAGTTTCCGAGGAACTTCTTGACGCCCCTGTACTGCGCCAGCGAGGTGAACGGATTCGTGGTGCGCGGCTTGTAGTACGGATCCTGGCTGCACATCGCCAACGCGTGCTTCCGAGCCTTCTCCATGCTCGAATATCTGGACGATAGTGGCGAGAACGCGGACACGTCTTCGGACAGCGATCGCCGATGAACGATCTTCCGGTGCTGCGGCGCCGAAGATTGCGCCGACGCCGACGAGGAGAGCGCCGCCAGCTGCTCGACGCTCTTCGCGATGCTCGCCGTCTTCGTCGCTTTGGCCGTCTCCTCGTGCTGTCTGATGTCGGCGAGGATCTTCCCGGCGCTCTGCACGATCTCCGGGAAGCTCGGCCGACTCTTTGGTTCGATGGTGCAGCAGCTGAAGGCGAGCTGCAGAAAGTCCGGATCTACAGTCGGCTCGCACAGTTCGTGGAAGGCGAGATAGTCGAGACCGAAGTTGTCGGTGCGCGGCAACTTGTCCGGATCCGCTTCGACGCGCGCTATTAGCTCGCAGAGGACGATGCCGAAACTGAAGACGTCGCTCCTCTCGTCGTAGTAGAGACCCTTCAGGCATTCCGGCGAGATCCAATAGGGAGATCCGACCGTGCACAGTTTCACCGTGCTCCCCGCCTCCGGAATCCTCGCGGCCAATCCGAAATCTCCGACGACTCCCTGCAGTTCCCCGCTGTCCTGCCTCCTGATCAGCACATTCTACAAATAAACAACGACATCTAGTTTACAAACAAACAAACAAAGTGTGTTTTTCAATTACCTTGCTGGTGAGGTCCCTGTGGAAGACGCCCATCGAATGGAGATAGGTCATTCCTCGTGCGATATCTCTGGCTATCGACACCCTGGTGGACTGTGGCAGATCGATCGTCCTGTTCTGTATCAGCTGCTCCAGTGAGCCCCCATTGATGTACTCGGTGAGGGCGTGCAGTTGACCCTCGTGCACGCACGCACCCATGAACGACAGGATGTTCGGATGTGACAACTTGTTCATCAGCTCCACCTCCTTCAGCATGTTACGTCTGTTCGACCTCAGCAGGTTCATCTTCAGCACCATCACCTGACCAGTAACCCTATGCGTCACCTAGAAACAACAACAACAACAATTAATACCAATCAACAAACAATAAAAAATTCAATACAAACAACGCCATCTATTTGAAAATTTACAATTCATGCAAAAAATCAAAAAACTAATTACGAAATTCGAATCAACATTATAATCGTTTCTACAGCAATTACAAAGTTATTTATAGCTGTTTCACGAACGTCATCGCCGTCTTGTTTTATTATTATTATAACCACGTTACGTTTAAAATATGTTATCATTATTACACACATTATTATATTATATTCAGATGGCTGTGATTTAATTATGTTTCTTTTTTTTTTTAATACAACTGGATATATCATGTTTATGTCTCCATATTTTCGTCGCAACATAAATATTTAAACGCAAATCAAGCAGAGGACATATATTTAATGAAGGACAAACTTTCAAGTCGACGATAATCGAACGTGCGATGATAATTAACTGTCACGACAGATGTCATTGGTATAATGATAATTCGCAATGGATTACGTCACAATGACAACTGTCACAATGACAATTATCCTGTCAGAATGTGATAGTTGTCATGATGATGATGACAGCGTCATTAGCGATATATATATTTTGAAGATTTCTAAGGATGAAATGAAATGAAATAAATAAATAAATTAACAGGGCGATGTCTAAAAATAAGAATTTGTCCGCAGTACGGCACGAACAACGAGCGAAGGTGGAGGAGTGACTCAGATCGCGGCCTGCTTTTGATTTATTAATGCGATACACACACATATATATATATCCAACCTTTCGTCCGTCCTCATATTGGGAGAAATATATGTGAAAGGTAAAAAAAAGAAAGAAAAACGTGAAAATTCAGCACGAGGGGGTTGGAAACAATCGATCAATCAACGTCGGCCGTGAAAATATAAACAGAAGAAGAAGCCAGACTAAACGGTGACAACAACAACAACAGTTAAGATGTGACATCTGCAAATGCAAATATTGATGTGAACGAAGCGTTACAGACAGACAAACATCGATTGCGAGAAACGTGGACGACGACCCAAATTCAAAAGCATCTAAAAGAGATCGAAGAGAAGAAAGTGGAGTTCCCAATTCGCTTCGAAATCAATCAATTTTCGGCATTCCGAACAAAAAAAAAACTCCACTCTTTCACATCGCAATTTGTGCACCATATGTCGTCGTAGTTAATGATGATGTTGATGCACCGTTCAGACTTTTTCTTTCTTTTTACATCTTTCTCTCAAACCAATACAAAAACAAAAGAAGAATTCCAAATTGTGCATAGTTTGCTATTTATCAAGTAGCCTTTGGTTGATTTCGATTGGCAGCAAAACCCGATGAATCGATGAAGGAAGAACCGAAAGGAAAGAAGAAATTAGAAAATCGTAATTAGCCATTCCGTTGCGTTTCTATTGCGCGACGTGTCTCCTCCATAAATATTTAATTAGTTTCGATGTGTACACTTTTTTCATTCTTTCTCCATCATTCGCTCGTCTTCACCGAAGATCGACAAGGCAAGCAGTTATTGGACATTTTCGCCTCTCGGTAATTGAGCGATAATAATAATAAAAAAAAAACGAGCGCAAAACGAAGAAAGTGCTGCTGCTGGTGCGACCGTTCCAATTTTCCCTGTACTTTCGAAACAATTACACACACAAAATGCGACTGTCACAATGACATTTCTATAACTGTCAGTTTGTGACGTTTAATGGAACACGCCACCTACGGATTCGTCATTCATCAACAATTACATACACAAAATTTGACTGTCATAATGACATTCCTATAACTGTCACTTTGTGATTGGATTTGTTATTTGGATTTGTCATTCATCAACAATTACAGACACAAAATATGACTCTCATAATGACATTTCTATAACTGTCACTTTGACGTTTATTGTAACGCGCCATCTACGGAATCGTCATTCATCAACAATAACATACACAAAATGTGACTCTCATAATGACATTTCTATAACTGTCAGTTTGACGTTTATTGGAACGCGCCATCTACGGATACGTCATTCATCAACAATAACATACACAAAATGTGACTGTCATAATGACATTTCTATAACTGTCACTTTATGACGTTTATTGGAACGCGCCATCTACGGAATCGTCATTCATTAACAATTACAGACTCAAAATGTGATTCTCATAATGACATTTTTATAACTGTCACTTTGTGACGTTTATTGGAACGCGCCATCTACGAATTTCTCATTCATCAACTACTTGTGAAATGCTTAGCGACTGTAAATTGAGTTGAATATCTGTGTGACTTCTAAGAAGTTTATATATTATTTTCATTGTCACAATGACATTTCTATAACTGTCACTTTGTGACGTTTATTGGAACGCGCCATCTACGAAGTTGTCATTCATCAACTACTTGTCAAATGCTTAGCGACTGTAAATTGAGTTGAATATCTGTGTGACTTCTAAGAAGTTTATATATTATTTTTATTGTCATAATGACATTTCTATAACTGTCACTTTGACGTTTATTGGAACGCGCCATCTACGAACTTGTCATTCTTCAACTACTTGTCAATTGCTTAGCAACCGTATACAGATAGTGACTTCTAACAAGTTTACATATATATTTTTTTTTGTGGAATTACGCAAATGCCAACCAAACCAAAGCAACCCGATTTACCTTTACACCGCGATGAACTTAGCGAAAAATCGATGTTCGGCGGTTTCTACTTCTATTTATAAATTGCGCATTTAAAAAAAAAATAGAGAGAGAGAGAGAAAAACTAGTTTCCAAAAGTATGAAGGAGAAGAAGAAGAAGAGGCGAGAAATTAATAGCGCCGTTGCGTAAAAAAAACGCGACCGACTAACTAACTTTCCAGCAATTAAACGTTTAATTGCCTAAACTCGACGCCAACTATTCGGATGCAATACCGGATTTTTCCTCTTCGCGACATCCTCAACTATTTCACAATCTCCATGGTAACAACAACAAGAACAACAACAGTAACAACGACAAAGTCAAGTAGGCGAAGACGAAGTTGTCGCAAACGAAACGGAAAACAAAAGCGTGGCAAGGGCGACGACTGCTGTTGTTCTTCTTCTTCTTCATCTAATGGAGGCTGAGGTCGTTTCCAAGAGATCCCAGATGGCCGAGGAAAAACAGTAAAAGATCCGCTCCTCTCTAATTGGGTGTGCAGTACACAGTGCACGAAAGACGCAGACGATGAAGACAGACAGAGAGATAGATAGAGAGAACGTGGAAACAGTTAGGAAAGAAAAATTAAATTCGATATGCTCTCGACGACAATTAAAAAAAAAAGACGACTACTACTGTTGTTACCGCAATCGCTGAAGGGAAACAGACAACATCAAAAGTATGAAGAAAACTGATGAAGATGTCTCAACGAGAGAGAAGTGAAAAACGGAAAGGAAGGAAGGAAGGAAGATGTCGAAAACAGTTCCATCCTGTCCATAATTATTTCCTCCCTTCTTCGGCCAATTCCAATTATTATCATCATCACCAATAACAACGCAAAACAAACGAACGAAACAAAAACAACGCGATGTTTGCGAAAGTTATTCTTTCTTTCTTTCTTCTTCTACACTTCGCGTTGCACTCTGATTAATAACGAGTTAATTAAACGATTGTTTCGCATTCAGATTCTTTCATTAAATCTATGCAAATAAACAAACAAACAAAAGAAAAACGAACACGAAATGGGTGAGAAAATACAAACATTTCTATTTGATAATTAATTGAGTTAGAGAAAAAAATTATTACATTTACTTTCTTTCTTCAAAATAATGTGAACATTGTAAAAACTTAAAAAAAAAAAGTATATAAATTACAGAACGAAAGCGATCTTCCATCGCGCATTATTTTTTGATGTAACCATAGTTACGTAATGCAGATTAATAATCGAAGTATGCAATTGTTATGATGCGCTTCTATTAATGTAACTATGGTAACGAAATGTTCTTTATTTACAACAACAACAACAACTACAAATGGCGTCTTTTGATATAACCATGGTTACGTAATAACTAAGGTGTGCAGATTTTATAGGAACCACCTGAGAAACATTTTTCTAGCGAGTTGAAAATCGCGGTAGATCCAATTATTATGTAAATTGGATTTTATGGAGGAACAACTGTAGGAATTGCGCTATGGAAACGAAGAAAAAGTTTGAAGAAGAAAAAAAAATGAGGGTATACCAAAAAACAAAAAATGAAGCTGGAAAGAAGAAGTGAAGTGGAGATTTTGGCGCCTCTCCGCCCGTCGAGGAATTCCACGCATTTTACGAGGAGCGATCAAGAGTGCTTGAGTGAGTGAGTGAGAGAGAGAGAAAGAGTTGAATAACAACACACCTACACCTTGCGTCGAGTGTGGAATGAAGAGGCAAAGGCAAAGAAGACGATGGGAAAATAGAAGAGAAAACAGGAACGAACGGTTGACACTATGCCTGCTGCACTCTTCGTCGTCGTCGTCGTCTCGTTTCTTCTCGTTGCGACCTGACGGCGGCTGCGGCAGCAGTAGAATCTCTTCCCAAAGTCGCCCACGCGTCAAACCCGAAATAGAGTAAATACCAACGAGAGAGGAGACACAGAAATGCGAACAACACCGTAAACATCTCCTCCGACTAAATACCTTAACTCACTCACTCACTCCTTCGTCTTCTTTAACATTGCGGAAAACCAAAGAAGTGACAACGCGTCCGAAGAACCAATTAGTGAGAATCTTTGCCAAAAAAAAACAAAACAAAAAGCTATAGGCCACAACTTCATGGCTATCTCTTCTCCTAAATCACATTCGAACCTGATCTTCACTCGCGTTTTCACTCATAATTCGTCAAGAAACGAACAAAAAAAAAACACTTTCCTTTCGAAACAAAATCGCACGCTCGTTTTTCGCTTCATTGTTTCCCGGTTGTCTTTTTTTTTTTCATACAAGTTTCACTCTTCGATCTCTCGGTGAAGAAAAAAACAAACAAACGAAGAGAATAAAAAAAGAAAAGCGACACGCG